AGGGACGAGGGACCAATCCGAAAGGCGAACAGTGGGGGAAAAACTATAAAAATCGGAACTTCAAGGTCGAAGAAGAGTCTCCTCCGGATTAACCCTACAGTGGTGATTAAATTTGTGTTGTGCATCCGCCGCTCACCGAGGACACCGCAACGAAACGACGAACTTCTGCTTCGTCCGGATATCCTTCTCGTCCGCCCGAACTGCAACCGAGATCACGAACTTTCGCCGTTCCCAGGAGATTTTGGAATTATCCTATATCGATGTAAGCATGAATTCGAACAAATAAACGGGTTTTGTCTTGTAAAACACTTGTGCATCATTTGCCTCCTTCGCCACTGCCTACATACGCGGTTTCCCTTAGGCTCATTCTGACGTGAGATAGACTTTTTCCCCCTCAACGTCAGCAAACCTTACACATTCATCAATTTATAAGTTTGGGGTGAATTTAATTTTACATATTGTAAGTACAGCAACTATTTCAAAACAAAAAAATACCAAAAACAAACAACCATAAACAAAAAAATCTTTTTTGGAATTGATTATTCTTACATTTAATATAATTAATATATTATTAAATTTTTTAAGTAATTGTATGGAAAATAAAAATTTTCTTTATTTAAACAGGACAACAACAACGACAACAACTGCTGCTGCACCTGTCCCTACCGTTACAGAAGCAAAATCACCAGATGTTTCTGAAGATTATAAAGGAAATGGTAAATATGAACCATTGAAAGAACATCAGTTTGAAACCGAGGCTACAAATTCTGCTGCTGATCAGAATACTAATCAAACTGTTGATCCAAAAAAACAGCATGCAAAAGATCAGCTGAGAAATTTAAAATGTAAGTATTGAATACATTTAATCTTATGTTAATGATTTAATAAATAATAAATATTAAAAAAAAATTTAAATATTAAAGTAAATTATAAAAGATTATTATTATTTTTCTTTAATATTTACTGCTAACAATTATACTAGATGATCATAATTAAAGTGCCTCTATTGAATGATGTCTGGAGATATATTAAACAATCTAAATACAATCAGTTCTGGTGAGTAACATTTCAGAATATGTAGAAGACATTTCTGTAAAAATATTAGTACCAAAACTCACATCTATTTTACTTTATACCATTCTGGTTGTTTGGATCTTAATCCATATGATTTTTGGTTGCAAGGATTGCATTTGAGAAGCATCACAGATAATCAATTATGGTTGTTTATCATAACCATACTGTTTATTGCTTCAGGGTTTTACTGTTTACACCTTCAGAATGGAAACCACATTGAATTTTGTCCCCTGCATTACTAGTCTTTGTATAGCATGAATGCCTTGTACAAATAAAATGTTTGTTGTTTGTAGTGCCAAAGGTGCCCTAGTGATAAGTTTTGGTACTCATTTTAGAATGTCTTTGGGATAGCTTGAAATCTCACCATATCAAGTTTGATTGCATTTGGACTGTGAAATATCTCTCTAAACAGCATTGAATAAGGTTATTTCAATTGTGGTCATTCAGTATTTAATTGAATGTAAAGAATGCTTTACTGAAAATTTTCAAAAAAAAGTATACTTTTGTTTGTGAATGGTAATTGTATACTTAATATGCAAACAGCTATATTAAAAAATTCTAATTTTATATATGTTAATTTTTATATCATTTTTATCTTTTATAGACATTTTAATTCTTTTTTATATATTAACAATACATTTTATTTTTTAAGCTTTAATAGTTCATGATTGGGTGCCACTTGTTGTTTTTGGAGTTGCAAGAATAAGACATACACGTCTTTTAGCAATGCTGAGTGGTTTGAAACTGGAAGGTGAATTAAATGGTTTTCATGCTAGTATAACTCACAGAGAAAGAGTTCGGGGAACTTCAAGAAAATGGAGTGAATCATCACTAACAGGACAATTAGGTCAAACAATGGTTATACTTTCTGAAGGAATGTCTCCAAATCAACAGTAAATATTTCTTTATTCATATATAATTTGTGCAAAATATTAAAATAATTTCTAACCTAATTTTTTTAAATTTTAATGCTGTTTCACTTTTACTGAAATTTCATGATTTATATTTTTCATTACTTAGATCTATTTTAACTCTTTAGATAAATTACCTTACTTGAAAGATCTTTGTCATGCAATATAAATTATTTACATCTTAACAAATCAAACTAATGTTTGTATTTTACTCTAAACATAAAACTATAATCTGACATTTCCCAATAAACTTATTTTTTGTATAAAATATTTTAAAATACAATAGCCCCTCATTATATTGTGCTTGTCAGGGATAAATTAAGAAAAAACACAATATAATTGAGTACTAAAAATTTTGGAATTTTACTAAACAGATTATGCATGCTATAGAATCTCTATCCTCTATTCTTTCATCAGCAGTGTTTTCTGATATAAAATAAGCTTAGTTTTTCAATACTGAATTTTATATGCGGTTATAGCATATTAATTGATGTTTACATAAACATCAATTCCACGGACACTCATTTAGCATTATTATTTCTTTAACAATGACATTTAAAGAAAAATACTGTCAATATAAAAACAAAATATCAGTTGTAATTTTATTATACAGTACTTTATTTCATAATAAATTGCTTATTAAAAACGTGTAATTTATATTTTTTAATAAAATTATAAATACAGTAATTGAAAATTTAGAAAATAAATATTGAACATATAATAGAACATCAAAAATTATAAAATTACAGAGTAAAAATTCTCTAAAAAGCAAAATAAAGTTACTACTTAAAAATTTAGAACTTTCAGTTTGGAAATAAAATAATCTTTTCCTTACACATTACCCAGTGAATTTGAAATTTCACACCTTTATACCTTTATATGAATTGGCCCAATACCATCAATTAACATAAAGATGTGAAATTGATGGTATTGGGCCTCATTTACAAGTTTCTGTGAATTTCAAATTCACAGAAACTTGTAAATGAGGACACAGTACTTAAAATCAATAAATAAACAACTTTTAACATCAAAAGGAAATATAAATGATAATTGATCTGTCCACCTGTTTTGCTTATTTATAATAGATCTTGACATATTTATTATTTCACCTCCATTTGTAGTTTCAAGGACAATAATAGGAATAAAACATCATATTTCGTTGCAAAAAGAAATTCAATGGCAGTACACAGTGGTACCTCAGTATACGTCTGCTTTAGAATACGTCCAATTTGGAATACATCCTGTTTGGATGAAACAAATTTTGCTCGGTATACAACTTAATTCAATTATACGCACCATCTATGAACAAGTAGCACTATCGGTGTACTAGGCTAGACTAGACATTCACAGTGCACAGTTTATAACTTTGTTAAATTTCTTCTGAATTTAATTTGTAAGTAAAATTTTATTATTTTTATTAATCATGAATTGCAAAAAGGCAAATGAAAAGCAACAGAAAACTAAACAAATGACTAGAATCACAATGGAACTGAAAAAAGAGATTGTTGAGAAATATGAAGGTGGCATGCGTATTCGAGATTTTAACTGTTGCATACCGTATTCCGAGAACAACGATATCGACAATTGTGAAAAATAAAGACATTATTAAATCTGCTAACGTTGGGAAAGGAGTTAAATCAATTTCTAAACAGAGATCGAAGACATTAGATAATGTTAAGAAATTGCTTTTGCTTTGGATAACTGAAAAACAGTATGCTAGAGACAGTGTATCAGAAGCAATTATTTGCAAGAAAGCTAAAAAGATACATGCTGATCTCATGAAAAATCAAGCAGGAACTAGCCAGGAAAGTGAGGTGTTTAAAGCCAGCCATTTTTTTTTTTCATGAGAACGGATTAATCATTTTTACATTACTTCTTATGGGAAAGGTTGGTTCGGTGTATGTCCTATTTGGTATAAGTCCAAACATCAGGAATGGATTAAGGTCGTATACCAAGGTTTCACTGTATCCAAATCTGCAACATAACAAAGGGTTACTGTACTTTTAATAAACCCTGGAAAAACAAAAGTTATGTTTTTTAGCCTTGTTAGAAACTCTCTCAGTAATAACTTTTTTTAATAATCAGTGCCTAGAGATTGTTAATAGTGTCTGTGATCTTGGTGTCATATTTGATAACAGACTTTTTCTTTTAATCTACATACAGAAAATCTAAACAAAAGATATCTATTCGTCATGGAATGCTTTGGCAAACTTTTAAAAACATTTCAAATAAAAACACACTCCGTGCTATTTTTTTCATTAACTTTCAATCTTTAATTGATCATGTGTTATCAATAATGGGTTTGGCTCCTGCATCTGCATTAAATAAACTTAATCTAGAGCTAAACAAAGGTTTTTTTTATCCTCAACAAACTGTCACATATGCCATCTACAGTAGTCACCACTGAACTTAGACCAGGCTGGAGTTAACATGCCATCCAATAGATAGGTATAAAAAAAAGTAGTGTTGATTCATTGCATGAATGTATTACATAATTTAAAACAAATATACAGTAATTAATCTTTAGTTTTGCTAAATATCAACTTGATATCTTGCAAGTTTAACAAAATTGAGCCAGTCAAAGTTAAGTCATAGGCATAAGAAAACATAGACCACTGCATTACCCTCATCAATGAACATAGACCACTGCATGTTTAATATTTTGTTGCATCACCTTTTGCGGCCAAAACACCTTCTATATGTTTCAGCGTGCTTGACTAGGTGTTCACATTCATCTGCCTTTATGGAATTCCAGATAGTTAGGATGGAAGCTTTTAGTCCAAGAATGTGTTTTTTGCAGATGTTTCTTCATAATGTTCCATACATTCTCAATTGGTGAAAGATCTGAGCTGTTGGATGGCTAAAGAAGAACTTCTGTGTTCTTTTCTGCAAGCCACTGTTTTATTTTTCTGCTTGTGTAACATGTGGCCCCATCCTGCTGGAAAATGCAGGTTCTATTTGGATATAGCTTTGCTATGGATGGAAGTTAATGTTATTGTAGAATGTTAATGTATTGCTCTGAAGCAAGTGTTCCATCAACAAATGTCAACTCACCCATACCAATGGCACTCATACATCCTCAAACCATGATGCTGGCAGGAAACTTCACTGAATGGTTTAACAATGATGGATAATTAGCTTCATTGGCAGATCGAATGACATGTTTGCTTTTGTCTGTTGCTGATAATTCAAATTTTGATTCATCAGACCACAGAATTTTATGCCACTTTTGTTGAGACCAAGAGAGATGTTCTTTGGCCCACTGTACTCGTTTCTTCTTTTGATGTGCTGTTACAAAGGTTTTTCACGTGCTGCAAAGAACTGGAAATGCATTTCTTGCAGTCTCCTGCATGTTGTCGAAACAGATACATTCTTTCAGTTGTATCATTCCATATTGTAGTTACATTCAATGCTGTGGTACAGCGGTTGTTTTTTATGATTCTTTTCAAATTTTTATCATAAACTTTTCAAATTTTTCACTGATGTCCAGCATCTTTGTTAGGTATAACATGGTCGTTGTTAGTGTATTGAACAATAATCTGGCATACTGTTATCTTGCACATGCCACAACTGTGTTTAGCAATGATAGCATTTCTTAAATCTTCTGAAACAGCTTTTCCTCTTGCCATTGTAGACAAAATGCAAAGGTTCATAAATAAAACTAAAAAAAAGCACCTTATATCATTCACATGATCACTGCAGCTAAAATGAGGCTAAAATAATCAGTTGTCTCAGAAATACTGCAATTGTAACATTATTTAAATGCAAATTATTGGCTGGTCTATGTTCATTGTTGGGGATGACACAGTGGTCTATGTTTTCTGATCCTGTGACTCAAGTTTGACTGATTCAATTTTGTTAAACTTGCAAGATATCAAGTTGATATTTAGCAAAAATAATGATTAATTACTGTATATTTGTTTTAAATTATGTAAAAACATCCATTCAATGATTCAAAACTCCTTTTTTTTTAAACCTATTTATTGGATGGCATGTTAACTGCAGCCTAGTCTAAATTCACTGACTACTGTACTAACTCTTCTGATGTGTGAATCTGTCTCGACCTCTCTAACCTATTCCAATATATAGATTACTTTGATCATATCTATACAAACAAATATTTTAATGGCCTTCTTCTTGCTCATTATACCTTTATCTATATTCCTACATTCAACAGTAGATTATTAACCTGTATTCATATGCCCTACTGCCACCTGAATGTAACAATTAGATCTTTAGACAAATTGTTCCTTGACTTCATTAAATTTAAAGCTATTTGTAAAAAGATACTTTACTCCAAATAATTTTTTTGTTTGTTTTTTTTTTAATGATGAGTCAACGGCTGCACACTTAGAAGTATGAAGGAGTACATGGCAGGAGTTGCAATTTGGCACATAGTATTTGGTACCAAAATCATGTGCACATAAAATAAACCAGACTTGTAGGTAGTCAGGTGACTACCTACATATGTCAAGTCAAAAGAAAATACAAAATGCTGAGACTGTTTCTACAAACAGGCACGAGTGCGAGATTTGTGCATGCATTACTCAAGCTCTCCAAAAATTGAATTATGAATAAATTAATTTATTCATACATAGACAATTACACTTCCCTTTTTTACTAGTTTACAATAGACACAATATTTAGATTGTGACACAATAATTATAGATTATAGACACAATAATTCATTGTTGTTGGAATAATTCAATTTTTAAACTGCCCCCTGTTTTATGGCATTTAGATCCAATGATCAAGTTTAGATTTGTTCTAAGAGATCTGTTTATTTGTGAAACATTGTGGTATTATTGTAGATGATTTCTAAATCCTTGTTGTGTCTACATAAGTTGTCAAACTGCTGAGGGCATTTCCTGAAGTGCATTTTTGGCTGAAATGTGGACAATAAAATACTTTTAATACAGTTAATAAATATATGAACTTGAATCAAAAACATCAGACTATTGAGAACAGCTTCTGTTTCAAAATTATTTTTGTAAAATTATATAAATATTACATAATTTTCACTGTTGAAAACTTTTAATTTTTGAAAATATTTTCAAAATTGTTCAATTCAATCAATGCAAATATATTTCTTAACATATAGGAAACATTTATTTTTACATATGTTTTATTAACATATAAGAAGAAATGTTACATTGAAAAATCTTAAAANATTTTGTTTGTACAAAATAAAAAAAATAATTTTTAACGATACAATAGTCTTCGTTAGGCTTAACATCGACGAAAATTCAACGTGAAGCGACACGCAACAGAGAGAAATTTCAACATGGGATAAATTAATATATTTTTTCGTACATGATTCGTTATCTGAAAAATAAGTTATCTGAACCACCTCAGTCCCCAATTGATTCGGATAAACGACGCTCTACTGTAATAATATTTGTAATGAGGAAACTGTCAATAGAAAAAACAGATGAAAATACATAATGAAAATACATAGATAAAAAGATGAAAATGGATAAAGTAAAATAAGTTTTAAAATGTAACTTAATGAGTTTTATATGTGGTATATATCAACCCTTTTAATATATTATTGCTAATAATATGAGTAAATGGACTTTCATCATTGCATGACTTACATTTGTGGGTTCCCAGACGAGGTTCGAACTCGAGTAAACCGTGAAATTCTTGCGCGACACGAGATGTAAACAACGAGACTCGGAACGGTTCTAGTATGTGTCAACTATCTGTTAATGTCTTAGCGGAAGACAAACTCTAACCCGAGCGCTCATAAACANTCAGATATTTTAAGATATTTAAAAATTTCAGAACTGTAGTGAAAATTACGGTTGGAAAATCTCAAGCTCTATATTCAAGTCAAAATAGGAAAGGAAAGGGGAGAAATTCAGCTCTTTTAACTATTGGTCCAGTGAATTTTGATATTCCTCAACACCCAGTTGCCCTCCATGGCATGATGACACGAAGCAGTCGTCAGTTGTCTACTACATTACAAGAATTGAGAGTTACTCGTCAGCCTTCAAGAACAAGGTTCAAAATAAGTTTTTTTTTTAATAACATTATTAATTTTGTTTTTTAAAAAGAAAAAAATTTAAAAGAAATTTCTAAAATTTTGATTAAAGTAGGCAGATTGATGAACTTGGACCAACTGTCAGCCATTCTCCTCAACCTCCATGGGATGTGACAACTCACCATAGAATTAATACCGATGCCCAAGAACTAATTAAACCAATAGTCATTCATTTCAGTATTATTTTAGATAGTTTAACAGTTGGAGCAGCATTATTGCCTTCATTATGTGCACAATATCAAGTAATTTGACTGATTATCATATTTTCCTGTTTTTTAATTATTATATTTCAATTGCTAAAACACTATAAATTTAAAATTATTTATTATTTTCAGATGGGTCAGGTAACAAGTATGGGTGTAACAGGAAGTAAAGCAAAATTTACTGTTGATCTACCTCAACATACCTTAAGTTTTAATACAAAAGTTAGTAATTTACTTATAAATAAATTGAAATATATGAAATTTGAAGGCCTAATAGCAATTGATTTCTTGTATTTTTTAATTAATGACTTTTGAATAAAATTTTATTTTAAAATAATCTCATATTTGCTAAATTTTTCATTATAATTTATTAAGCCAATAAGCTCTGGAATTTACAGAAAATTTAAAATTTTTAACTAACATAATTTTGAATGGCTAACCTATGGTAGCATTTCTTCTAAAAATTTTCTAAAACAGAAATAAAATATAAAATCATTGTGTAACCCATCTCTGAAAACATGTCAGTTTCATCTTAAACATTTCATTTTTTTTCATTTCTTTTGTTTTATTTATGTCAGAAGCTCATTGTAGACATAATTAAAATAAATGAAACAAAAAAAAGCGGATATATTTGAGATTGCAAGCATCTATACTGCATTGGGTTGAAAATACAAGTACAAAGTTTTTTTTATTTTCAATTTATTTTTATTTTATTTATCAAATCTTATAATATAATCAAGAGGGGTTGATAATGATAATAATGATGATAAAAAGTGCAGAGCCCAAATGCTTAGAAGTTGAAATTTGGTACATAGTTAAGGTATGTCATCATAACATACACTAAGAAGGGATTTTTCGAAATTTCCCTCCACGGGGAGAAGGAGAGGATTAAGGCTTACCATGAAGAACTCAGCTTCTATTATACTTTTTTAGATGCATTTTTTGCATTTTTTATTACGTTTTAATAGGGTATGCCATGAGAATGCATATTAAGAAGGGATTTTTTGAAATTCCCACCATGGGATAGAGAGAGGTTTAAGGATTACCCTGAAGAACTCGGCTTCTACTGTACTATTTTAAATGTCTTTTTTGCATTTATACAGGAAATCAAACATATTTTGAGACCTAAAAATTCTCAATGATATTTAGTGTTCCATTGTATATAAAGTTGACATGGGGAGTGCATGCACATAAGTTTGCTTTATTCAAACTCTTTGTATTAATGTTCAATTTTATGTTTGAATTTATATTTAAGAATGATTCGGGAAGATCCAGCTTATTTTTCAAATTCAGTAAACCTGAAGAACTCGGAAGGGGTTACAAAAATGTTTGTTATTCATCACTTAGTGGTACTATGCACCGGTTAGTGGTTGCTGTGAATTTTAATTATCGTTATCCCAGTGTGGTAAGCAGATATCTAAAAATTCTCTACTTAGTCTCAGAAGAGGGGGGGACCTAATTCTTGCACTCAGTGAAAACGGGTAAGATTGACTATAGTCTAATAATCTTAATCTTTGCTATCATTACTTTTTGTCTGAGCAACGCCAGGCTCATCTGCTAGTAATAATAATAAATTGTATAATGTAATAATAGTAAATGCTAAATTAGCTTGAAAAAATTAAATAAAAAAGTTTTTATTGTCAATAATATCTGTAGTATATTTGATGTTTAAAGTCCACATGGAGTGAGACAAGTTCAGGATGGTAATGTGGCCAGCATGGCCATTGTCATGAATGAGTACTCTATCAGATTTAGAGTAAATAAGTGATTAACTAATTTAATATAAACTAATTACCATTAACATTATCTATGATTAATTAATGCATCTGTAACAGTGGTGAAATTTGAATAATGTAAGCATTTTCAACCCAGTTAACAAACCATCCTCAGGGATAGACAATTGAGAGTGGAATGCTAGCTTCAGAAGGAAGGCAGACAGGGTAGACATTGATAGAGTAAACAAGTAGAGAGGTAGATTATGATTTGTTTGATGCAAAAGACTAAGGAGATATTTTTTGTGGCTTTAGGCCTTTTTCTGCTCAATGAGCACTAAGAGGCCAAACTAAAGAGATATTACCAGTTAGGGAAGGGAGTTCTGTGATGTTTGTATAGAAGGGGTGAGATATGGTTCTGATGATTTTGGTTGCCTGCCAAACTATCTCTATACTGGGAAGTTGTGTGAAGGAAGATAAAACTGTAGCAAATCTTTCTCTTTTTGTATTATCTTTATGTTTGGTGAACCACTAATTGTGAGGGATCTTGAGATATATCCAACATACATTGAGTCAGTGTTAGTTTCTTTGTTTTTGGCTGGGATGATGCACATTCTATTGCTCTGTTTGTTGTCTGGAGTCTTTATAATTTCACAGGAAGTGGTATAAAGTCAGGTTGCATTGTTAGACTATGTATTTGTTATTATTGTCTGTGATAGATTTTTAGATAGCTTTTTATTTTTTATTTTTTTGTTTCTGCTACAAGCAGATTAATTAAAATAGGCCTTATACTTCTGTATTAATTAATATTTAAATAATTGTATGTTATCAATTAATTAATGTTTTAATGAACTTAATTAAACTACTTGTTATTTAAAATAATAATTTTACTTTTACAGGTTCCTACTTCAGAGAGTAATTTACCTTCTTCAGCCAGTGTTGATTTACCACCTGTTCACATTTCTGCTGAGTATATTCAAGATTCCACCAATACAAATGCTAGTAAAGCAGATTCTTTTACTGATGGTGTTGTTTTATGTCAAGGAAGTTATCTCAGTGCATTAGCAGAAATTGGTTCTTTTGAACACAGTTTAACAACTGATTTATTGAATCATTTAGTATTAGTTCAAAAAGTGTTCATGAAGGTTAGTAATCTTACCATTAGAAATAGCTGTTGGAATATATAATAGATTGTATTTATTGTAATTATTTAGGAAAAAATTGAAATAATACAACCTAAATAATAATATTAACCATTTAAATAAAAATTAAATCAAACAGTTTTATGATTATCTAACAGTGTTTATATTTACTGACTAATAACCAACTATATACAAATTATTATAACCAAATTACAGCCAAAAACTGGAAAAGAAAAATATATATATTAATTCAGGTAATATATTAAAAATCATCTCAGTCATTCTGTGAAAATACGGATATGAAAACTTTCAATAACATTATTATCAACAGTTAATTATTGTTATATTTATATAAGTAGTTGGGATATTTAGATATCAACTACTCCCATATAGATATAATGACAAAAATATAATTAATATAATGATTTCAGTATCGTTGTAGAATGATGATATTACCTGTAATCACAATAAGTAGTGTCTTCTATATCTAAAATATTATTCACTGTATTTCTCTCTCTCTCTCTTTGTTATGTGTGAATTTGATATTAGATCTAAACAATTGCAATATCATAACAATTATCTAATTACAGTAGAGCATCATTTATCCGAAAGTCAGTTATCCGAAAGAATTCCAGTTGGCAAATTTAAATTTTCACTAGTGCTGTGGCACTGCAATCTTTGGCTATGTCTTAGGCTACTCCAATATTTTTTATGTTTGTGTGTGTTTTAGCTGGCAGCACTGTCACTTTTGTGTGGTGTTTTTTTTGAAGATAGTGTGTCATGCTGAATCAAACGTTTTTGATACTAGATAACTTCTAAAGTATAATTTTTTTTGTTTTTATATTTTTCAATATATTTATTTTGTTTGTAAAAAACAAAGGAATAATTTTTAACGATACAATAGCCATGATTATTATTTTAAAAAGTTTACGTTAGGCTTAACATCGACGAAAATTCACCGCGAAGCGACACACAATGGAGAAAAATTTCAACACGGGATAGGGTTAATGTATTTTTTGTACATAATCAGTTATCCGAAAAATAAGTTATCCGAACAACCCCAGTCCCCAATTGATTTGGATAAACAACGCTCTACTGTATTAATGTCTTTAAGTTTTTAGAAATTTAAAAAAAATTAAAGACATTAATAATGGACATGAATTTAATTGAAAATTTATGGAATTCAACATCAGTGCAAATAATGAGTGTTATTACTGATTATCAGTGCAAATAATGAGTGTTAATACAGATAATTGGTTTTGAACTATAGCTAAACTTTGATAGTTATTTTAAAGGAAAAATAATGTGATTGGCATTGAATAGAAAGTTTAAAATATGTATTTCAAAGGATGCTAACAGATAAAATCAGAATTACAATTTTGAAATTTGAGGCAGTAATGACTTGGAATTGGGAATTTTATATAGTGTACAAACTTTACAAAAATACCAGGGCTATGGAGACGCGTAAAAATCTACCGACTCCGACTTTTTCTTACCATCCAACTCTGACCAGGGGCAGACTTGTTACCGAAAGAGACACGGAAATTCTGATGTCATCACGTGACCTCAGAATAAAAGATTCAATAAATAGAGTTTTAATAAATATAGAACGTAGAAACATTTTATTCCAAAGCTAAAAGACTCCTCTAAGTAATATATAAATATGTATTCGATAACTTTTACTTTTCCGGCTGTTATATATAAGAGAGGGAAAGTGTAGCGCTCGGTCAAAAAATGACTCTTTTCAAATTTTTACATTTTTGGACTCAGGACACCTTGAAATTTTGAAATATGCAAAAGATTTGAGATTTTTTTCTATATGTGTTAGACTATGTGGGGGGCATGATTTGTTCACTCTGTTTGAAACCTAATAATTTCTGTGGTCAGAGTGGTTGGAATCAGAGTCAGATGGTTTAACAAAGGAGTTAATTATTAAGCGTCAAAATGGTTGAACTAAATCATGTCCCCATATACATTTTAACATCTTAGGCGAGAACATCTTAACAGGTTTTACTATACTATTATAAAATGACAAAAAATTTACTTTGAGGGTAGAGACAAATTTTATATTTTTTTAAAATTTTGAATGCTAATAACGAGTAAAATATTCATTAAGAGATATGACACATGATCACTTTTGTCTTCACCCCGTCGACCTTTAATTAAAAACCAAAATTTAATAGTATTAATGCCCCTTTATACGCAGTACCACATTTTGTTTCTTAAACTTTACCCATTCTGAGATATTGTTTAATATCTCAGAACAGAAAATAAAGAAATTAAACAAATTAGATGCCAACACACACATGCGTGCAAATTTTTCCCCTTTACTGACTTTTTTGAGGGGTTTGGGAGGTTTCCAAACGTGTAGATTTGCAAAAAAAAACCTGGAGGGTCAAATTTGACATGATTCCAATACTTTTCCGTTTTATATACATAAGAAGTTGGGAAGTAAAAAGGAGTCGGAGTTGGCGGATTTTTTGACGACTCTGACTCCGGCTAAAATACCAAAACTCCACAACTCTGACTCTGACTCCAACTCCACAGCCCTGAAAAATACTAACTTCAAAAAACAATGGCTTAATGCAATTAATTGAAAAAAGAACTTAGCTGAAGGAAAAAACCTATGATCAATATTCCAATAATTTACAATGCAATACTCCAGGATCTTATTCACAGCTGACAGCACTAATTAAAAGCATACCTTGTTAGTTTTACAGTTATCTTTTTCACATATTAGTGATAATATACTAATTTATATAGTTTTACATATTAAAAAAATCTTTCTAATATTATTTTT